TCCTGTTTTGAAACTCAACTTTGAGCTGCCATGGAGTGACGCGTGTTGCTTCTCCATTTATTTTTTCCATGGATTCACAAAACTAGCCTGGTATCCCAAAACAGCAGTGGAAGCTACAAATACTGAAACATTTGCGGCAAGGGCTTCCGATCGAATTCTTCTGTTCTGAATTCTTGGCTGATGACCTCTCCTGAGTGACAGAATGATGGTGATCAATGATCTACCGGGGAGTCGCTTATCTTCACGACCACATCTTTAAATATATCCGCGAATCTTTTTCCATTTTTAAACTCAACTTTGAGCAGAAGTGACGCGAGTTGTTACTCCTTTCATTGCTTTATGGGTTCCTCCCGGAAAAACCTCCGCAGCCAGCTCCTTAGTAGTGAACGCCGCCATGAATGATGACACCGCCGCATCAGCCTGACATCGCGACATCAACAAATATTTCCCCTGACCTGATGCCTGGAACAACCCCCAACCGTTTATTATTCCCCTACCGAAACCTCAGGCCAGTCAGGGAGGGCCTTCGTGGGGGTAGTGATTACGAATTACGTTAAATTTCAGAGCTGATTACGACTTGTGCTATTACGAATTACGTTGATTTTTTGGGAAGCTGCCTACAGATTACGAAGACTAAAAAGGCCTGATTACGCCTGACGAAAAAGGGCACCTGATGCCTGAAGTAAGAGGGGTGGTGATTACGAATTACGCAAAATTTTCGCCGACGATTACGAATTACGTTAAAGTCTCAGAGCTGATTACGGCTTTACGCTTTTTTGGCTAATGTACTGATTACGAATAACGTTGATTTTGGGGGGAGAGGCTGCCTACACGGATATTTACGAAGACTAAAAAGGCCTGATTACGCCTTACGAAAAAGGGCACGCAGACCCCCCCCCCTTAGGAGACGTAAGGATGAGGAAAGCAACCTGCACGGCGAAGGTGTACCGTCGCAGGGGTGACATTCCTGAGACGTGGCAGCAGAAAGTCTTTAAGAAAGAGAACCTGACGTCTGGAGGTTTGCGCCACCCTGAGCGCCTGGCCCGTCAGCCGCCGGCACTTTCACCTACTGTGTTCTTAACCCCGGGTTAAATAAACCCAAACATCGGTACCACCGTGGCAGATTTTTGATGTGCGATTATCGCACGGAAACAGGACGACAACAGCACGACAACAGCACGACAGATGGCGAGAAAGGTGTCACGATCGAATGATGGACCGTGTTGATCCTCTGTGTGAAAGTGTCTATAATTCTCGTGCCTCGGGGGGAAGCTAGACAGAGCGGAGACACACAGAAGGCCACAGAATAACCCACAAGATGGAGAGACTCATTGCAACGCCTAAAGTCAG